ACTGTTGAAATTATGAGAATACCAAACGCGTTTGCAAAAAAAAAACTTGTTTTTAAAATAGTTGGGCTCTTTTTGAACATTCTTTCCGTTGGGCTTGTTTTTTAGGCGTGCGATAGCTCGCTCGCTGCATCGTGTTTCTTCGTGCTGTCGCCAGCGACACGACACTTCGTGTGTGTGTGTGTGCGGGCACGCGTCCCTTTCGCAGATTGAGGTTGAGGGGAAACTCAAGAAGAGAAAGGAACGGTTTGGGGTGGTGACTGCAGCTGCGGCTGTCGCTACCGAAGACACGGAGGTGGGTGACGTGGCCTTTTCATCATTATTTTAATGCTCGTTTACCCAGGAAAACCTCGCTGAGTCTCATGGCACCTTTTTATGGAGGGTCCTGCCATATTTGAGCAGTTTCGGCCGATGATTATTGTGTACATTGCAATTCAGTAATTTGCGGGTAATTTTTCAAATCTGGAAATATTGGACCATGACGCTGGCACACAATGGCCTACTCTTGTGAATGACTTCAGGGGATCATGAACATCCTCTGTGAAAGAGACGCCCGCAGTATTGACCAGGGCGGACGCTGTATTTAAACCGTGGTACTTAATTACACTCGTTACGTGGCCGTGTAATGTCACTCTTGTGTCTTCGTTTATCGGAGGAGTAATATTTGAGAAAAGGGTGATGGTGATATTTTTAATTTGTGTAGCATTTCAATCCACATTCAACTTTAGATACTGCGTGTAATGACCTGCATGACCGAAACCCAAATGAGAAATACACATTCAAATTTAACAGCAATAGCAACAAAAACAGGAGTTGGGCAGATGGAGCGGTGGTGTGACATAGCGTGCACGAAGCCATCACAAGCGCCACAACTCCTGCTCTGATGGTGGTGGTGTTTGGTAAGGGATATTTGGTTTTTTTTGGTTGTTTCATTAAGCAGGGTCATCCCCTGCACAGCTCTTGCACGCGAAACACCCCCGTAAGAAGGAATCGGGTAAACATCCCAATATAGCAGGACCCTCATGGAAAAGCCTTGAGACTCAGTGAGGCTTTCATGAACAAACAATGATATTATTAGAATGATTACATGGACTAGAGGTATATTCTGAAGACTTGCATCCTTAGTCACCTATTTGATGAGATGAGAGGGAGGCATTGTGTGAAGCCTCCCAGGTTGAAAAGATTCATCTGAACCCCATCTCTCTTGTGCTGTGTTCGTGTCAACCTTTTGGCTCTGTAAATACGAGTCGTGTCAAGCACTCTCCATACTGTGCCTTGAGTGAATCGCTGTGCAGTGGCTTCCAGCCAATGTTCTTGTAAATGAACTTCACTCGATTCCTCCACTCATGCTGAAGACTCGGGTCTACCAGGATAACCGTTTCAACTCATCCACGCTGTGTTCTACCATACTGCAGGACAAAACACGCAACTTTTTGCTTCTCTCCTTGCGCTGCTTAAATTTGGAATTCACTCCCATTGTCTCTTTTCCCCAAGTTCATTATAACCTTGCTCAAGCAAAGAAACAATGTGTATCCATTACACCTGCAGTTGGTTCTGTTTGTTACTGAACGCTTGGGCATGTTGGGCCTTTGATCCTGTGCTCATGAATTGTGATAAAAAAAAATACAAACCTCTTGTCTTTAGGTGGAATATTTCTTACCTTATTACCAATAAAGGGTATTGAGACCATAAGTATTTTGCAAAGGAAATGTCGATTGAAATTGTATTTGTGAGTGCCATGTGGATCGTCGTGATAATGCTCACTCGTATTGTAAAGTAACCGAAACGCTGCCTTTCTGCGTCTTTTCGTTTTTGCAGATCAAGAAGCTGAAAAGAGCAGAGCGTTTTGGCATTGCATAAACCTGCATTATTTTTCTTGTTCCGGTTTTATAATCTTCTCCCTCAAGGCAAACGAGTCGAGTCTTGGTTTGTGGATCGTGATTTTGTTTGCCTAATACAACCAATTCGTATTCACTGGCACGCATTCTTTTGTGCGCTGCCTTTTCCACACACAAAGCATTCGTCGTCCGAGCAGCGACTGGAAACGTTACACTACCACATTTGTACGTGGGGGTGTGTGTGTGCGGGCATCGGGGCGGGGGGGGGGTGGTGTTCACTCGCAATGTAATGCGTGCCCACGTGGAATTGTTAACGAGCAGAGTTTGACAGGAAGGAAACAGCTTGACACTCGGGGCTTTCCATTCATAGGCAGGGGAAATTAATCAACTCGACTAAATTGGCAAGGTGGTGTCCAGGGAAAAACTTGATAACCCACATTTGTTTAACTATACAACCCCGAGGAAAGCTTCACAATTAATCAGATCGTTATTGTATCGTCTCGGCTGAGATCGCAAGTTAAATTTATAATTCAATATGCCTACCTCCAACAAAAGCCTACTCTTTGTAAAGTGCCATTTTGTGGGTTATCAAGTATCCTCGAGGAACCCCCCCCCCCAATTAAACTGCTTGAAATAAGTTAGCATTTGTCAGTAAAATGTATCACATATATTAGTTATATATAGTTGTGCAAGTATCCTGATAATTGAATTTTAAAAAGTAGGTGTATTTTTTATCAGTCCGATCACTGCTCGAATAAAGGAGTGAAACGCAGTCTTATTTGAATCCCCATTGTCCACCCATGTGTATGACATGACGTGTCATCGTTTACCTCGTCTTACCACGCAGCTGACGCGAGAACTCTTGTTTTGTATCGTTTCCAACGGTGGCGATTGATAAACATTTTTTTAAAAAATAAATTGACTGCGGGTGAAACGGAACCTAGTGCTTGGATTTTGTTAACGTTGCATCTGTTAAGTGCAACACCTTTGTTGGGCGAGGGTCACCCTTGTTGGTGCACTGCTCTCTCGAGTTGTGAAGGTTGAAGGAAAAACTTTCATTCACTGCTAGATGAGCAAGGGCCAAACTTAACGTGGTTGCCGGGTGTATCGGTTGTTTGACCACAACCACTATGCTGGATAGTGAAGGCGGGTGGGGGGGAAGTACAGTCCAACGCATAATGTTGCATTACCCTCGGTTGCCCATCACGTGAGAGTCGCCCGTCCAAACACTTTCAAGGCTCAACATTCTGATTAGCTTCCAGAGTTCTGGCGTATTGTGGCAGTCAGCCGTGATCAATCGACTGTGTGAAGGCATACCAATACCCGCGGTTCACGACTGAAGTGACGGTGACATCACTACGGCACCTGTGCCAGGCTAGGTGTACTTTAGGCCACGTGAAGTGTCCAAAGGCTCACTGCAGACAGGTCCACGGGACAGGACCCAAGGTTGCCATGAGTTGGCTGAGATGACTGGCAGATGGTATCAGCAGTACCCCTTACTGTGACAACTTTGCTGCACTTTAGCCACCCGGCGCTCCGCTCGTTGTTGTGAGCGTTGCCCCTCTGCCTTCGGTCGTTGTTGGAGGGCGAATGCCTATAAATTGCCGAGTAACGTCCTTCACGAGCCCCCTCTACAGACGCCGATCTTGATACCACTGGTACCAACGTCTTCGCCAAGTCAACTCAGCTCCACATCCTCCCGTACCGCATCAGTCAGTCTCTTCTCCACAGCAGCACCCACACGCGAGCCGATTTCACCCGCTCCGTCTCCCACCCTATGAGAAGTCCCGTGTGCCAGTGAAGTCCAGTATGTGCCAGCGAAGCCCCGGTGTGCCACCGAAGGCCCGTGTTGCACCCCAACACGTGTGACACCCAAGGCCCGTGTCTGCCACCCCAACACGTGTGCCACCCAAGTCTCGTGTGCCACCCCAACACGTGTGCCACCGAAGTCCCTCGTGTGCCACCCAAGTCTCTCGTGTGCCACTTCAACACGTGTGCCACCCCAACACGTGTGCCACCCCAACACGTGTACCACCCCAACACGTGTGCCACCCAAGTCTCTCGTGTGCCACCCCAACACGTGTGCCACCCCAACACGTGTGCCACCCCAACACGTGTACCACCCAAGTCTCTCGTGTGCCACCCCAACACGTGTGCCACTCAAGTCTCTCGTGTGCCACCCCAACACGTGTGCCACTCAAGTCTCTCGTGTGCCACCCCAACACGTGTACCACCCAAGTCTCTCGTGTGCCACCCCAACACGTGTGCCACTCAAGTCCCTCGTGTGCCACCCCAACACGTGTGCCACTCAAGTCTCTCGTGTGCCACCCCAACACGTGTCCCACCCCAACACGTGTACCACCCCAACACGTGTGCCACCCCAACACGTGTGCCACCCCAACACGTGTGCCACCGAAGGCCCGTGTTGCACCCCAACACGTGTGCCACCCAAGTCTCTCGTGTGCCACCCCAACACGTGTGCCACCCCAACACGTGTGCCACCCCAACACGTGTGCCACCCCAACACGTGTGCCACCCCAACACGTGTGCCACCCCAACACGTGTGCCACCCCAACACGTGTGCCACCCCAACACGTGTGCCACCCCAACACGTGTGCCACCCCAACACGTGTGCCACCCCAACACGTGTGCCACCCCAACACGTGTGCCACCCCAACACGTGCTGCCGGTCTCCCCACCCACACACCCCCACCACTCACCGCAGGGGCGCGCGCGCTTGGTGCTCGCGCCGCCTTCCCATTGGCCCCGGCCGCCTCGCCGCTACGACCAATGGCGAGCGCCCTTCGCCCACTCGCGGCGGTGGGGGGCGGGGCTGTAGGAGGGGCGGGGGTGCGGCGGGGGGATTCGTGAAGGGCGACAATGGAGAGCCGGGCCGGGGACGCGAACCGGGACGCGGGAGATCTGGGGTCGTCGCGGCCCCCCACCGTGCTGGAGCGATACTTCACCCGCCATTACAAGACAGGTGCGGTACCCCCCCCCATCATCTCTTTGGCGGTGGGGGGGGGGGGAGAGCCGGGCCGGGCCTAGAGAGGCTTGCGTGGTGTGGGGGGGTGGCGCTGTCCCGCCCGCCCGCCCCACGTGCGTTTGTTTACCGCGACGCGCGCCTCGTGTGGAACATTGCGCGGGTAAAAAACTTGCTGTGGTCAATCCCCTGCTGGATGAAGGCCTCCCCCCACCCACCCCGGCCGCCGCCGTCTATCGCGGCCTCCCTGCCGCACGAAGCCGATATCCCTTTCCCGTCGGGCCTACTTCCTTACTGCCCTCACCACCCCCCTTGTAGCCTGCCACTCCGCCCTGTCAGTCCGTGACCATCGGGGGCTCCACGGCGCACGCGGCCGGCGCGCCGTGGGCTTCTCGGTAACGTGGCCTGCGGCCGGGGCTCGGCGTGAAACGTCGCTGGGGTGGCCGCGAGCCGGGGCTGGTGAAGTATGGTCAAGCGGGAGACCCCTGAACGGCACGCGCGGCTTGCAGGGACGATGCCGCGTTCGTCCGTGGATTTGACCGTGTGGTTGTCGGTCAGGATTAACTGCTTGCATGTGATTGTTATTATTATTTTAAACTCGCTGCAACAGGATCACCTTCCATAATACGGGGGATTTGTTTTTTCTTTTAGGTGTTAGATCGCGTAAAAAAATGAATGTGTCGTTAAACCCGCCACCACCCGACACAGCCAATTGGTAAGGCTTCGTGTCACGTAAAACAGAACGTGGCCAATTCGTCACTCGTACAGCAACACCGGTGTGTTGCAGAGCCAAGCCGCAACATGTACAACCTGAGTACGACGTTTCGCCGGTATTTACAACTGGCTCCATCAGGAATATTTGTGCAGAAGGTCCACCTGTTTCGTTCCTTAAACAGAGGCATAGTCGACGTGCTTGACCATCCCTTGCGCGCGGGATTAATGAATGCATCACTGATGTGGTAATCAACGCGCTTGGATGCATGCGCGTTATGGGAGGACCGTTCACCTTGCTTGGAGGCGATCTCCATCGGATCTGGGCAACTCAGCTGGATGGAGGCCCTGGGGGGTTCAGTTACTTCTGCCGGGAGTCTGCCGTGGAATTCCACGTGTTTGTAGGATTGGGTTAGGGGGGTGACGGAGTTGGCGGTACAGCGATGGGGCGGGGTCGGGTTCTCAGGTTTCTTCCCCACGTGAAGCCAAACGCTCCAGAGTAGTAAACCCAGAAGCTGCCAACCCACACGGTTCTCAACCCCGTGTTCCTGTACAGGGAGATTGAGTTTGCAGGTTCATGCGGAGTACAGCCGTTTCATGTGCGGGCAAATAATTTAGTTTGTCTATTTGTGCTTGTCCCTTGTGTTGGGCTCTTTGTAGGATGAACGTTGAGATTTATATGGGCACGGGGTGACCCATAAGGTCTGAATTGGTCTGTAATAAGGTCGGCACTGATAAGGGGTTGACAGGTTTGTTAGTGTTGTGCATCCACATATCAAGCAAACAGCAGCATCAGCATGCAAGATCACAGACGGTAGCATGATAAGTAGCATCATTGACACCAATTATCATAATTCATACATAAAACAGTTTTTGTTTAGTAACATAATTTTTGTCTTTGTGTTTCTCCCTTCTGATGGGACTTTGTAGGATGAACTTTGAGATTTATAATGGCACGGGGTGACCAATAAGGTCTGACTTGGTCTGTAATAAGGTAGGGCACTGATAAGGGGTTGCCAGGTATGTGAACCGCATTCGCCAAATTTGTAAAACTCTCAAACCCACCGATCTGCGAGGTGGCGAGGCTGTAGAGCAAGTGGCAGTTCTTGAATCTATCTGTGCAGAGTTACATGGGATTTTATTTAGGTACCGTGGTGCTGCGGTAGCGAGATGTTTACTACTTCGCTTGGTATGCAGGAGGTCGTAGATTCGATACAGACCCTGGTGCCTGCTGTATATTTGGAGTTTGCGTGTCTCCCCGTGGTCACGTGGATTTGTCTCCGGGTCCTCTGGTTTTTCTCCTCACATTCAGAATCGACATCACGCGAATAGAGTATTTGATTGCTTTCCATTTCCACGTGACAAGCCACTTCGTTGAGATATCATTTGTCGCCAGGTCGTTTCTGAAAAAGTGCTACATAGCTCAGTGGGATGTACCTGGTAAAATAAAAATAGTTTAGTTTACCTCTGGGTACACCTCCCATTACTGCCATGAGCCATAAAACGATTCATGTCCCCTGCCACATGGTTCAAGGAATTGTAACGATTCGGTGGTGGCGATTCAATTCGAGAGGGGATTCTCCATCTTTTGCGATTGTAGAATCTCCCTCTCTCGTGGCTCCAGGGTTTCATGTGAACCAGTCGCAGTGTGTGCGAATCGAAAATAATCTGTTAATAATACATGCACGCATCGTGATCGTGAGAATCGATCTTGATCAATGGCATGCAGGGTAATATCCTCACGTTCTGACCCATCCCGGTTGGACATCTGCGAAAAAAGATCTTTATAGCTTATCGGATTCCTCCAGTACAAATACATATCCTGCTCAGCCATGATCTATCAACGGTTGGATAAAGGCCTTCCCTAGCCATCACGGTTTGTCACGGTCCTGCATTGAACACACGAGGTGGTTTGCATTTCTCCGTCTCCCCAATCTACGTATTCTCAGGCGTGTTCACTCCTTTGGCTGCTACTCCGTCATTAGTCTCGACCACCGGACATCGTCACAATGTCCACAACGGTCAATGTGATGCCGATAACTGGCATATGCCCTCTGATCCACGTGTTCCTATCTTGGTGTCATTCCCCGAATGCCCTTCTCCGGGCTTCTTTGTGCACTTTTCAACATTTTTGCTCCACGTTTGTGTTTTGGAAGGTCATTCAGCTCATTGACCTTCCAGACCAATGTTATCCCCGCAGGCTTTGCCTAAACAAGCAAACTCTGGGCTGCTTTTCCACCTTCTGGGTCTCATCAGCATAGACAGGCCTGTTAAACAAACGCTGCCCTGTTGCCAGATGTTATGAGCGAGAGCACTCCCTCTTCCCAATGGACGGGGGAGGAGGGGTCCCTCCTACAGGTGTGCCGTCCTTCCCCTTCGGCAGTATTCTTGCAGCGACTCGGACGAGTTTGTTCAGAAACCCCCGCGGGAGACACCGGGCGCCCTAAACGCTCCCTTATTTAGAGAAATCATAGCTCGTCCTCCACCCTCCCATTATGCGTGTGCCTCTGGTGTTGGTTGTGGAGGGAGCGGTGGTGGAGGGAGCGGTGGTGGTGATATCGGCAGGCGGTGACGATGGGATGGCGACTTCGGCAAGGTGGTGACCACCGGTTGCGGTTGTGACGATGGCATCGGCAGTCTGTGGTGGCGGTGGCAGTTAAACTCCATTATTGTCGAGCAGGTCCCGGGGAAATGGAGGCACAGGAAGGAGCGGCCGATGGCTCGGGGGGGCCCCGAGGTTGAATGAAGTCATTTAACGAGGGGTCGGAACGGTGCAGCTTCGCAGGTCACTGTTGACATTTTTTATGGCCACGAGTAGAGACCCCTGGCCCGAGGATTTACTGTTGTTAGCATTCCTGCCGGAGAGAGAGGCAGGCCTCCTCTCTCGGAGCAGGGCGGGCGGGTGGGCACCGACGCCGTCGCCGCTTCCTCCATCCACGCTCGCTCCTCGGCCGCCACAAAATGCTGATTAAGGCTCCGGCGGGCGCTGGCGCCAGGAGGAATTCTTCGGCGCAATCTGCTTGACCGAGGCTCGCACATCTACAGTAAATCCAAAATTGATGTTGAAAGCCGAAGCCCATTCCCATTATTATTTCTGTTTGGTTTTAATTAAGGGCTACAGTTTCTGGTTTATGGCCAGTGGCTTGACTTTACAGCCCTGCAGTTGCCAGTGCCCTGTTTAATGACATTGTACATACTGACTTTTTGACCTTTCCAACATCGGCAAAGTACTAATTGTGAGACCTTTTAAAAGAATATAAAGAGCCCGTGCAAATGTTTACGTTCCGAGGGTGAGAGTATTTTATTTTAAATGATTGATTGATTTTTTTTTGCCCGCTGCCCCCCCCACCACACCCCCCCCCCACCCCCCCGCCCAGCGAACGCCGTCCTAGGGCTGCTGCGCTCGACGCCCCGTGCTGTCGTGTCGTCGTGTCCTCGTCGCCTTGTCAGGTGTAACGTTGCTGTGGTCGGTGTCGAATTACAAAACAAATTAACGGCAATAAACCCGTTCTCCCATACCTGCCCTGCGTGCGTGTGCTGCGTGCGGTGTGCTGCGTGCGGTGTGCTGCGTGTGGCGTGCTGCGTGCGGTGTGCTGTGTGTGGCGTGCGTGTGCTGCGTGCGGTGTGTGCTGCACGCGTGCGTTTGTGCTGTGCGTGCAGATATGAAAGGCAAGGCTTGTGAAGACCACTGCGTCCTGCAGCACTCCAACAGGCAAGCGGCGCACCACCCGCCCACGCGGCACGGCGTTCACGCGAGCCCGCTCGTCGCCAATTAACGAATCGACTCGTTAACCCTCGTTTGGTTCATTCCGGTAATAACCCATGAGCGCGATGGCGCAGACCCTCGCGGGTGCCCGGGACCCGTCCGATGGGAAAAGTGGCTGGAGCCTGATTGATGGAAATGACGCGGAGCAATTTGCGCCGATCGTCATTCACGATTAATTAAAATTCAGCTGAAGGGTAAACGAGCAGACGACCCATTAAAAATCACCGAACTGCTGTGGTGGCCAGGTGGCTCGGGTTAGAGGGGGGGTGGGCGAATCGTGGTTTGGAGGGGCCTCATAAGGGCCATGTTAAGGGACTGAACCAGCACCACTGGGACCTGAGTTCGAATCCGGGTTTTGGCTGTCCGTGATTGCTTGGCAACCGAGCCGATTTAAGCTGCCACTTTTTTTTAAGCCCCTTTTTTTCCGCACAACGAGGTCGAAAGCGAACAGCAATTTTACGCTCTCATAATCGGTACGTGGCAGTTGGCGTTTTAACAACGGCAGCCGACGGCTGCAGTCAGGAGGGTCGGCAAGTATGAGACCGGGTTCTCAGGTGCCAGCCCTGCTCCCTGGACAATGACCTTTAGTGGCTTATCCAGTTTTTCCATTACACGCTCTTCGGCCGGAATCTAATTGCGAGTTGGGGAAAATGGCAAGAATATATAAATCTCGAGCTCCAACTCCTCTGGCCCTGGGTGACTGTTGGTCTTGGCGCTGTTGAAGGTCCTTTTCTGCGATGCAGATGTTTGGCTGCTGCTGGCCCTACTGCTGCTGCTGCTGGCGCGGTTACGAGGCGTGAAACGTGCGAAGCGTGTCACCTGCAGATTTTCACCCCCCCCCCCACCGCTGCGTTCAGAGCGCTCTGCGTTCGCTGCGGCTGAAAGGCACCACGTGATTGACTGGCGTTTCTCCATTCCAGGCCATGCCACCCCACCCCTCCCACCCCCTCCCCATCCCATTCTTTATCGGAGCGCAACTCCAAAGGCCCAAAACACCGAGCGGCCAATGTTACTTAACGTGGCGCTCATCTCCTGTTCACAGTTGTGAGCGAGTGGTGGATGTTGCGAGGGTGAGCGTTTAGCGAATTGAGCAGGGTCGCTACGGGAAGTTGGAAAAAGAGACGATGGGAGGGAATTCAACAGTTTAGGGGCACTTGAAAAGTGTCGCAATTTGCGCTGCGACGGTCCATTACAGCGTGGAATTGCGCGAGTTAGGGCCACTGCACACTGCATGCACCTGATAGTTTGAAACTCTGGAGTTGATAAACTCTGGTGTCGAGACAGCTGCCTGAGCCCGCTTGCTGTGACCACCGCGCGCGCGTGCATGTGTGCGTGCGTGCGTGCGTGCATCCGAGAGCCCATGCGTGCATGCACACCATGCCTGTGTGTGTGCGCGCTAGTTTGCATGCGCGTGGACCCGTCGGCAAATTACTCTGTCCACCGTGACCACTTGCGCTCACCGTGAACAAACGTTCGTGAAGCGGAATGAGTATTTGGGAATATTCCGGTGGAGCGGTGTTGCCCTTTCAAATATTTGTACCTCCTGCGTATTGGTTCTTAAGGGGTGGGGTGGGAATGAATATTCGTGCCTACGAGAGCAAATATTTTTTTGGGCGGGGGGGGGGGTACTTACAATCTGTAATGCCCAGGTTAGTGCAAAGGGACAGTGATTGTGTGGTTGTGTTGGCGGTCAACACTTCACACCTGCGTGCTCCCTGATCACGCCACCTTGCCGTTAGATAAGGACTGCTAATCGTTACGCAAATATTTATTCTGCTATATTACCCTCATCCCCACCCCCCCCAAAAGCATGTCGGTTTCTTTTTTAGCACGACGGCGCCAACACGATCGCGCGCTATCGCCGAAACGCGTCGACGGAGCGCGCGTGTGTGTGCGTGTGTGTGCGTGTGTGTGCGTGTGTGTGCGTGTGTGTGCGTGTGTGTGCGCGCCTATTTCCGTCGCGATCTATTTAAGGTCGCGCGTGACGCTGAGCCTACTCGGGTTTAAAAAAAATCGAAGTCGGGCGGCGCAGGTAACGTAAGAAGTTGGTTCACGCGGAGCAGGTAAGCGGACACCTGGGCCGGACTGCGAGGGGCTGGGCGGTGCCGCCACGGTGACGGGGAGAGGGGGGGGGGTAGAGAGCGCGCGTTGTTGCAGGCACGCCGCGCTATTTACATTGATTCGAGTTACGCTGTTTGCAAAGCTTTCACTCTCGCTTATATCTTGTTAACATTCCTGCGTTGAGTCCCCTGGACTTGTCAGGGCTGGATTATACGCAGCAGCAGCAGCAGCCAAAGCAGCAGCGGCTTTTCAGCGGAGGGGTTGCGTGGGGAGCAAGGGTGGAGGAGGAGGAGGAGGAGGGTGGGGAGAGGGGTTCTTTGTTTTGGCAGGTTTTTATTTGGGTAAAAAAAACGCACACACGCACACACTTAGCGCACGCACAGAGATGGCCCAGAAAATCTGCAGGCTCGTTAAAGAGCCTTTGTTTCCGTGTGCGATGCAGCGGGGGACCCCGTTGCATTAATGAGAACCCCCTTGAACGACGCATGGGGGGGTCCTCATTTCCGCCTTTGTTTCACCACCGTCCCAAAACACAAACAGCTTAATTAAGTGGTGTTTTGTCCAGCGAGCGCTGCTTGCGAACGTCGATCATCATCATTATTATTATTTTTCCTAACATAAACTTTTTCAGCGAGGCGATGACATCGCCCAGGCCGCAAGGGGTCCCTGAACGAAAAAATGCGTGCGTTGGGTTTATTTAAAATTACGGCTGTCAAGGGGGGGGGGGCGCGGGGGGGTTGGGGGGGGGCTGTATTCGGAGCCGCAGCAGGTGACGGGCAACATTCCCACAAAGGACACATTTTTCCCAAATAAACCCGTGCAGCTGGGGGTTTAATTCGACACCTGTAGGATGTCAAAATGCTGCCTCAGCTGTTTGTGGAGCCGGGGAGTGCGAGTTGACGAGCGTGGGCCCGGAGCCCCCCACCCCCGCCGCACCGACCGCTCCCCCAAACCCCTCGCCCGCTCAACCCCATCATTGCCGCGGTCTCTCCGCCCCCCCCCCCCCCCGTCCACCCCACGCCCCTGCAGCTGCAGGCTGCCGATGACTGCCCCGTCCATCCCCCCCACCCACCCCGTGACCTCTGTGAGAGCGGCCGCCCAAGAGGTCGCCCGCCTTTTGGCTCGTCAGCACGGCCTCCGTCTTTGACAGGGGCCCGGGCAGCACGGAGGTGGGTGGGGGAGGTGGGTGGGGGGTGGGTGGGGGAGGTGGATGGGGGAGGTGGATGGGGTAGGTGGATGGGGGAGGTGGATGGGGGAGGTGGATGGGGGAGGTGGATGGGGGAGGTGGGTGGGGGAGGTGGGTGGGGGAGGTGGGTGGGGGGAGGTGGGGGAGGTGGTTGGGTGGGGGGGTGGGTGGGTGGGGGAGGTGGTTGGATGGGGGGGGGTGGTTGGATGGGGGAGGGAGGTGGGGGGGGGGTGGGTGGGGAGGTGGGGGGGGGTGGGTGGGGAGGTGGGGGGGGGTGGGTGGGGAGGTGGGCGGGTGGGTGGGGAGGGGGGGGTGGGGGGGTGGGGGGGTGGGGTGGGTGGGGAGGTGGGGGGGTGGGTGGGGAGGTAGGGGGGTGGGTGGGGAGGTAGGGGTGGGTGGGTGGGGAGGTAGGGGTGGGTGGGTGGGGAGGTAGGGGTGGGTGGGTGGGGAGGTAGGGGTGGGTGGGTGGGGAGGTAGGGGTGGGTGGGTGGGGAGGTGGGGAGGTGGGGGGGGTGGGTGAGGAGGTGGGGGGGGGTGGGGGGGGGTGGGTGGGGGGGGTGGGTGGGGAGGTGGGTGGGAAGGTGGGGGGGGTGGGTGGGGAGGTGGGGGGGTAGGTGGGGAGGTGGGTGGGTGGGTGGGGAGGTGGGTGGGTGGGGAGGATGGGTGGGTGGGTGGGGAGGTTGGGTGGGTGGGTGGGGAGGTTGGGTGGGTGGGTGGGGAGGTTGGGTGGGTGGGTGGGGAGGTTGGGTGGGTGGGTGGGGAGGTTGGGTGGGTGGGTGGGGAGGTTGGGTGGGTGGGTGGGGAGGTTGGGTGGGTGGGTGGGGAGGTTGGGTGGGTGGGTGGGGAGGTTGGGTGGGTGGGTGGGGAGGTTGGGTGGGTGGGTGGGGAGGTTGGGTGGGTGGGTGGGGAGGTACCCGCTCTCCCTCTGCCGCCCGGGCCCTCCCCCGTCACCCTGAACCCCTTCCAGTGACTCTCCTCCCGTGGTTCGACTCCCCCGTTCTGATCCCTACTTTGCTCCCCCCCCCCCCCTCGCTCGCCATCATCTTCCCTCTCCGCTCTCCCTCTGCTCTCGAGCGACCTCTGGTCCACTCCGTAAGAGGGCAGCACTTTCTCCACCCGCTCTGCGTGCGAGAGTAACATTTGTAGCGTGACGCTCTTGTTAATTCCCCAGAGCTGGAAGATAGCCAAATGAAGCGCAGAAAGAAATGTAAATGCGTTGATTTTCTTTCGTTACACGGTCATCGGTGACCAGACTGAGATTATCAACTCGCGGCGCACTCAAACCCGGTTCAATCGCATCCGGCTGCCAGGATTCGAACCCAGGGCCTCGGCCGTGACAGCTCGGATCTCTGACCTCTGAGCCAGTCGGGGCGACCTCTGTCTGCTAACGCTCACCAGAGCGGCGGAGTTTGATAATACAGCGCCGCCATTGTGTGCGTGGGTGCCTGAGCATTGTATTTTTATTTAATCTCGGGTCGTATTGGGGGGAGAGGGGGGGAGAGATGGTGGTTGAAGGGTTGTGTTGGTGGAGGGGAGTTTGGTGGTTGGGTGGTTGGGGAGGTTGCGGTGGTTGTTGGTGGGGGGGGGGATATGTGGTGGTTAGGGATGGGTATTGTGGATGGGGAGGGGTTGTGGTGAATGGGGTGGTTGGGGTGGTGTGATCTCTCCGCTGCTGGATGAAGGCTATAAAGGGATGATA